GTCACCTCGGGTGTGCAGAACCTCCTCAAGCCCCTGAATTCATCCCTGTCCAGCCTTGGGATGGGGCAGTGGCTTGTGTCAGAGGTGCTTCCCACCTGGGAACAAATAAGTGAGAAAGACCATCAGGTGGTGTTGCGAGCCCTGGGCATCGAACAAAGTAACGTCTCTCTCGCTCTTAGCTGCATCCAGGCCCAGATGTGGGTGCAGAGTGTCGTTGCAGGTATCCTGAGAGACGGTGACAACGGCGTCCTGCCCACTGAGATCCGAAAGATCGTGTGGGACGCGGCCACAGAGAAGGAGCGGCAGCTCCAAGCCTGGTGGAGGCTCGTCAACTTCACCCATGACCAGGCTCTCAATGCAGTCATTGCCCACGTCCTCACTGTGGCCGAGGCTCGCATTGAAAAGGTCTACCCCATTGTGGCCCTGGGGGTAAACACAAACGGGTCTGTGGTCTACCCCCTGGACCACCGCATGTGGGCCCGGCTCTCTGATGGGAAGTGGCAGACGGTCGATTTGGAAGCCTGCATTTTGGAGAGGGGGCTGGGATTCATATGCGAAGATGATGCCCTTAAGGCAAGTGATGTGTGCTTTGACACCAAAGAAGGGGTGTGCCACTTTGAGATCAACCCGCAGAGCAGTAAAAAAACCATGTTAGTGTACGTAGGGAAAGGCTGTGTGTGCTTCAGAACGACATGTAAATACGTGCAGATTAATGAAGCTTATAACCAGACCGTGTTTAGCGACTCAAATATGTGTGCTTGCAATGTAGCTACTATTAGAGGCTGTGATTTTGTGTACAAACCACCTGTGTTTACTAGCCAGTTGCTAATCAGAAACTATACCTTGTATCGTAGTATAACCCCGACCCCCATCGGTATGGATTTATCACTTGTAAAAGAAATGTTAGAGCATGCAAGTTTGCAGCAGCTGCTAGAAAATGCCAAGGCTGAAGCTAAAAAGATCCTAATAACAGTCCACCATGATGGCAAAGTTATAAAACAGGTAATGGAACGAATTAAGAGGGTGGGAGAACACCATTGGTGGGAAGTTTTTTTCGGCTGGTCCCCCACGGCCACTGGCATTTTCAACGCGCTGCTGCACCCCGTTGTAGTTATCCTGCTAATGCAAATCTGTGTGTGCTTTGCCATGGTAGCCACTTGTTACCGGATGAGGCAGGTGAAGCTCAGCTTCGACAACCAGGTGAAAAGAGTGGGGCTGGCCAAGAGCGTCCTGCAGTAGTCAAGGGCAAGACTGGGTTGGCCTCTGTGTTTGCCACCAAGAAGATCTTTTGGCTCCGCTGTTGGCTGCAACCCAGTAGGCGTTGAGCGGTGGGGACACACGCCATGCCAGACCTTGATGAGAGGGATGGCCTTCTGTTAGCAGAAGAGCCATCCAGGCGGGGAAGACAGGCCAAGCAGCCTGCAGATGGCACGAGTCACAGAATGGTTGAGGTTGGAAGGGACCTCTTGAGAGGTTTCGTTTAGTCTGAACCCACCTGCTCAAGCAAGGTCACCTAGAGCAGATTATCCAGGACTGTGTTCAGCTGAGCTTTGACCATCTCCGCAGATGGAGACTCCACAGCCTGTCTGGGCAAACCTGTTTCATTGTTTGATCACCCTCCTAGTAAAGAAGCAAAAGTTAGCATAAGTAGCTTGTTTTTGAACTTCCCATCCTCATATACTAATGTAAAGAAGCTTCTCTTGTGTGATTTAAGAGTCTTTAAACCAGGGAGATGGGAGTAGAGAAAACTAAGGACACTGTCTTTGGAAGGAAAGAGAAGGAAATGTAACCCCTGAGCTTGGAAAAGCACCCATTGAGGACAGCAGGGGTGTGAACAGCCACAGAGACTTGGAAAGATGGTAAAAGATGAGCAGAACAGAAGACCCTGTAATCACATAGACTTTGAGGAGCTGAATCCACATGGACCTTTGCAGCACCACCTCCAGGTTCCCAAGACTCCCGGCACGCCTGGCCAGCGGATTGGTGAGATCTTGTTTTTGGAGCCTGGACATCACAGCTTTGCTTTGCTTTTCTTAAGTTGCTCATGTACTCAATAAATCTGTCTGTTAGAGAATGGGCTGTCTGTTCAGTCACCACCTCTCACTCACTACCCAGGCTTGGACCTTTGGCTATACCAGGAAAAAGAAGTCCTGGTGAAAAGCAAAAAAAAAAAAGGTTTTTTTTTCTCTTTTATAAGCCCAGATCTCTCACTTGCTTTTTGTCCGCAGAATATTCACTCAAACACAAAGATTTCTGCCTTGGGCTGCAGAATGGGGTTCTGAGCTGATGCAGAAACTCATTCCCCACTCTCACTCTGCCCCTCCTCACCTGCATTGCTCCCCTGTCTCTGAATACAGAAAGGGACTCAAAATACACATAGGAGGTCTCTAAAAATTTTAAAACATGGACAATTTCAAAAATTAGATTAACCACCTCATTTCCAGCCCATGTTCAGTTTCATCTCAGAGGTGCTGTATTCTGAGAATCAAGGAGGGAGTGGGGAGTTACACAGAAAAAAAACCTCTTTGCAATTCAGGTTGAAATAAATAGATAAAGTCCTTTAATCCAGCAGAAACCAAGTGAAAACCGAGAAATTAATTTAAAACCCACATTTCACAACCACCAGGCTGAGAAGTGCAAAGAAATATAATGTTGCCACAGCATAGGTGTTTTAAAGAAATGCAAAACTTTCATAAAGACACTTCTCCTTTAAAATATACATTATAATTGAGCTCATGAAAATATAGAAAAATAAATCATGGTCTAAACCCACAGAAATCCATTTTTTCCTCTCCAAGAACCACAAATACAACCCCCTCACCCTTGGGATGGGAGGTTGAACTCTCCCTTCACCCCTCTCACCTGGCTGGGAAAGGGCCATTACCTTGTCCCCTCTACGCTTTGCTGCTCCTTTCAGTTTCCCCAACACAAAGCCTCACAAAAACACATGGTTATTTTGGTTAAAACACCTTTCTTATGTGCTAACAGCTCACATGTTTCATGAGAACTAATTTCCCAGTGAATAATTGCCCTTTTATACAAAGCCTTTACCCCTTAAACCTGTTTTGGTTATGAGTAGCAGAAAAAGAAACCAGGAAAAATTCCCATTATCTACTCTTCAATCCTAAACATGCACCGTGAGTGTGGTCCAGCAGGGATGAGCCCTGGGAGGATGGCAGAGCCATAGGGAAAGGGGTTCCTGCACCTACACAGAGGTTTTAGCTGAGCACAGACAGATGTGCATCCTCTGCAGCTGCACCGAGCTGCTCCCTCTGCACAGCTGGCTCATGTGTGCACGTGGGTCGGGAACATTTAGAAAACTACAAAGTTTTCCCCCCTTTACTGTCATCTGTTTATCACCACAAACCAAGCAGGGCTGTTTTCACACTAGCAGCACAATTGCTGTGGCTGTGACACACCTGGGGTCGCAGCCTGGGGGCAGGACTTCAGGATTTGTCTGCTTTTCCAGCAGTTCCAGTAGGTCCCAGAACAGATTGTACCCAAACCTGCCTGCTCTTCTGAGTCAAATGGGTAACACAACTGGATTTATTCCCTGGTCTTTTTGTCCTTGCCCTTTGGGACAGAGTGGGCTCTGAGCTGTGGAAGCCCCCCATCCATCCACTATGCTCTGGCTTCCCTCATCTCCAGTTAGGCAGATCAAAGAGGCAGTTTTCAACTCCTGCCCAGCCTGGCTGCATCTGTGTCAGGCTGTGAGCAGGTCACCAACCCCACTGACCTAGCTCCATGGCAGTAATTCAGATTAAATTGTGAAAATTAAGTGTTAAGGTGCTACAGAGAAGCAGTTCTGGCTCAACCTGAACAAAGTGATGTAAAAAGAAACCTTGGTGGAACCCCAGACCTGCTGGGGTCCTCTGAAGAGTCTAAAAAATGCCCACAAGGGACAGAAATGTACCAAACACATGATTTAAGACAAGGTAGGTGCTGATCTCTGGATATATCTCATGAGACTGCAGAGGTACTTCTCTGTTATTTCTCATGCACCTGTCATGATGGACATTTCCTGCTGCAGCAGAAGATCCTGGTGGTGTTGGAAGGTGGTCTGCAGTCACACAGGACCTGCCACAGGTCCTCCTTCCATTTGAGCAGACACAGAATCTCCATCTCCTCCAAAGCACAGGTGAGTGGCTGTGTGGAGATATCTGATCATGGGGCCATCTCCAGGGCCAGCCCTGGGGAAGGACCTAACAGCTACCCTGAGCCTAAACCTCCCACACAGGCTCAAATCAAATGCAGAAGGAATTTGCACCTGGGTCTTTCCCTGGCTCGGCTTGTACCTGAGCATTTTGCTCAGAAAAAGCTCAGATTTTGATTTCCCATCCCCAAATAGATTATAGCATTGCATTTCCAGAAAAATGTTCAACAAAGCTTGGAGATTTTTTTGGGGGGGGGGCAGTTTCTGCCTCTGAAGTCCTGAAAACCATCAAGGTTCATTTCATATCCCTTTGGGCAGGTCCAGCTGGGCAGATTTCTCTGGCAGAGCTGCCTCTTAAACCCATCACCAGCATTTTAACCACAGTCACCCTCTGGTGTGAACTTTGCTTTTCAGACTTAAGGTCTGACCATGCCTCTTTTTCTAGTCTTTCCTTTTCTCTCTTCCCTCTTTCCCACCTCCAGCTTTCACCTCTTCCTGCACCAGCTGCTTTCCACCTTCATTAGCACCACTTTTCCTGCTTCTCAAGTGTGACTGTCACTCCAGATCTCACTTCAGGAGTGAGAAACCCCCAGGGACAGTGATAAAAGTGCCAGTGATGTAACCTGGCTGATCACAATTCGTTATGTATGGCCATGATGGAAGAAATGAGCTTCAGGCAGAGAAATAAGGAAGAGCACCAGGACTGAGAAGCACAATAAAGAGAATTGGTTTAAGAGCAAAAATTCTGGGTAGCTCATCTGGGATGTGGGACAAATTATGGTTTGTGTTGATTTTTTTTCTCTTCATAAAGTCTCAGAGAAATTCTGTGATGTGCTAGCACACAGCATGAAGGGAGATGCTTGGTTTATTCCTCACAACAGCCTCAGGAAGTGATCAGATCACATCAGCCTGGCTGAGAAGGGTCATGAATAACTCAGCAGGGAGTTAGTTTACTCTTAGGAGTGGTGAAATGACTGAAGATGTATCCTGCAGAGGGAATTCTTGTGGGTTCACTCATCTTCTTAAAAATAAAACACAATTGAAACAAATTCCAGTTTGGAGAGATATCATTAATGTGACTGTTGAATTTGTCAAGGCTAACAAAAGACTCATCAAGAATTAATTAGTAATTAAGAATTAGGCCTTCTACAGCATGGGACAGACAAAATGCCCTCATTCCTCCAGCTGCTCTCAGCATCTTCACCAATGTACAGGAGCCACAGGAATCTGGAAAGAGAACAGAAAGACATGAAGTTACTTGAAATAGTGCAGGTTAGAAGATACAGGGGGAAAATATCTTCCTTAAAAACCCTTAAGTTATCCTTGCTCTCCATGAGCAAATGTTGCAGTAAGGCTACAAAGATGCCTGCTTGCTTATGTTTGCCTAAGAAAATGCCATCAGAAAGTCTATAAAGATTGCTAAGAAAAGAGGAAGAAATAAAGGTTCATTTGTTTTAACAGCACACCCACCAATGAACAAGAAAGCACCACCACAACAGCAGTGGCATGTGTGTCCTCACTTCCTTCACACTTCATCAGAAACCTCATGGGTAACCTTAACCCAGTTAGCTGCCAGAGCAGTAAAATCCTGAGGAAAGGTGATGGAGCTGTGAGATGAGTGCTGCAGAGCGGGTAAGGCCACACGGTGAGGGAGGGATGGACACCAGCTCAGGGGGGCTGTCTCAGCATCCTTTCCTTCACCAGCTGGTGCTTCTGGCTGCTCTGAGCAGAGTGGAGAGATGAGAGGCAGCTGCAGGGAGGCAGGGGCTGGCTCTGCTCAGGCTGGTGACACAACACCTCCACCACAGGCACAGCGCCGGGGTCGGCACCCACGAAAGCGTGCGGTCAGATTTCTTCACTTGTAGAGCTAAGGGAAAAAAAAGAAATGACTGAAAAGAGCGGTAAACAAACCAGAGGGCAGGCAGGGAACAGCTGGCAACACCTTCTCTGTCTGATGTGAGAGGGATTTTTCTGAAAACAAAGCCACTTCCATAAAATCCCCTCATTTCAAGGGTAATTCTAAGGAAATGAGTCCATCTCCTTCTTTAGGCTGATGCCCTCAGAGAGTGACACGGAGTAACTGAGCAGGGAAGAGAGATGCATCCCAAGAGTTTTCAAAAAATATCACAGAACAGTAAGTGCTTGAACAGACACCAATGCCAGCTGCTGGCCATTCACAGACGGTCCCAAAATGTAGACTTCTTTTAAATCTGATGGGATCTGATGCTGTTTTGCGGGATACAACTCTACTGTCAAAGTGTTAATTTCACATCAGCTTCCCAGTTATCCTTCTCCATGCTGAGCATGACAGCATGGAGCATGGATGGAGCTCACGTGTGAAGAAGCTGCTGATGCACACTCAAATTTGAACACTACACACAATAGAGGTGAAAAAGGTGCCTTCCCAAGGGGCCCTGAGGTCTCTGCATCATGGACTTGACTGATAAGAGCTACTGGGCCCAGGGACCTCTGTGCATGCACAGATGTTGCTCCTGAGGGCGAGCCCAGGTGCTGCTTGAGAGAAACCTGCAAGAGCTGAGCCCTCAATGCCCTGACCTGGACTTGCATGAAACTGCAGAACCAAAACTACTATGGGCCTCTAAGAAGTGGGCAAAAGAACCAAATCTTGCAAGCTGCTGAGAAGTCTCACGTTTCAGTGGTCACACACCACTTTGCCCAGACTGACTCATTTGTCCAGACAGAAATGCAGTTTCCTGGCATTGCAGCAACATGGGGAGTGCAAAGCAAGAGAGGGAGCCTTGCTGGGGTGAGGCTGAGCAAGGCAGAGTGAGCTGTTATTTTTTTAAGCACAGCAGTTGGCTATGCCCCCAGCATAAGAAGGATGTGGGTCTGCTGAACCAAGTCCAGAGGAGGCCATGAAGATGCTCAGAGGGCTGGAGCATCTCTGCTATGGAGACAGGCTGAGAGAGCTGGGGATGTTCACCTTGGAGAAGGCTCCAGGGAGACCTTCTAGCACCTTCCACCACCTAAAGAAGCTACACATATAGACTGATACAATACAGCTTCAAAAGAGACATTTTTAGGGAACAAGTTTACCTAAATGCGAGAGCTATCACAGCCAATATATTTCTCGCATGTCATGATATTATTGCTAACTGTGGTTCAGTTTGTGGAGCTTGAATTTATAATGCAGATGGTTTGGAAACATTTAGCACTTAGCTTTGGGGAAAGCTTCAACTGCTTGTCAAGTCAGTGCTCAGAACACTGGCTGGGAACTGTTTCACCCTTAATTCTAAGGAATCCAACTTCACTATAAAGGTGTTTTTTAAATCTCCCCTCTCCCACACAAACAGGTTTTCAGTTTTCTCCACAGCTCTCACAGAGAAAAAACCCACAATGTACTTCTTTCACAATCCCCCCACTGAGAATCTAGTTTTATTTCAAACTTTCATATCTCACCTACAGAAACAGCAAGGACCTGAGCCTGTCAATGCAGGAAGAAAAGGTCTGTGACCTGAGGATCTGTGGTTTTGCCAGGTGTTGTTAAGTATCAATTCTGCAATGAAGCCTCTGGTTGCAATGTGTGACAAGTGGAGCCAGCATACTGTGCTCCCACAGGTGTTCAGGACTTGTGGTTTTATCAGTCACCTCTGGAAACTTTGATTTAAGATTTATGCCCGCACTGAGTGTTCCATCCTAGAGCAGAAGTGACTGACAGCACACTCTTAGGAGCAAATCTGGACAGGCAGTTTTCTGCAGCCCTCTGAAATCAAAGCAGGATTTTCCTAAATTCAATAGGAATCAATGCCTCAACCTTCACTTTGACAGAAAAAAGAAACAAAACCCACCTGGTTGAAATAGCACTTCATTGCTTTCAACTGTGAATTGCACTCTGAAAGGAAGATGAAGAACACTTGGTGTTCCTTTTCCCAAACTGTCCCACAGATTTATGGCACTGCACTTATTTATAGTCTCTTGTGTACTGAGGGTTTTGTGACACCTGTTTTAGGTTATAATCAAGAACTGTTACAGCTGATCAGCGTTGAAAAGATACCATGCTTGGCTGCTCTGTACCTTGCTCTGGAAACAGAAGCAGGATGGGAAACTGGAGAGACACCAGCAGATCTGGCAGGGCTCTGATCTCCCTCAGGCCATTTCCACCTCTGGATGTCCAGAAGAACCAGCAGCTACAACATCTTATGGTTAAAAGAGCTGCAGCTAGAAGAGTTCATCTGGCACTTGTGGTAAGCTGTAAATCACAAGAGAAGCTTGTGGAAAGAGAATACAAATCTCCCAGTTCTCACCCTGGTGCTTTTCTCTTGATGTTCTGGCAGATTAACACAGCCACTGAGCATGCTGTCAGCTTCTGTGGTGTGGGAAGGCAGTGCTGGCCAGGCGCTCCATGCTGAAAAAAAGTCCTTAATTTAATTAAGATATAATAGGTCTCTGACTTGCTCAAACAACTGTTCTACACTGTGATCTGGTTCCACAGATAAATGGCACGTTTGAGATGCAGTGCAAGGTGTTGTAGCTGGGTGATTTGTAGTGATTTTGGTTGAATGTCTCTCCATCTTTAAGGAAACATGCTTGGAGAAGTTATCAGAGGCTAGATGTGACGAGGATGTGGCTCACAAGCCAGCAGTGGGTTAACTTGGCAGGTGTTGCTGCTCCCTGTGTGTCTCGCTGGAACCACAGCCCCAGTTCAGGGCAAGGTGATTCAGTGGTTCTCCCTTTCTTTGGTGGGATCCTTCCACCACAGAAACAATCTTTTGCTCACTTCTCTCTGAGACGTTCTGTTTCAGTTGTGGACTTTTTCAGGCAGACTGTGAAATAGGATTTTGCCACAAATTATTCACATACTGCAGCCAGTCATGAAACCAATGTATAAAAAGTCATAAAGGGGAAAACAAATTATAAAATAGTGACAGTTTTGCACATTCATGGCACTCTTCACAGGGCTGTGAGTGTCACAGCTGTGTTCAGGGATGAGTATCTGGGCTCCACTGTGTTCATTGAACAAGCAATTCCACTGCTTGCAGGCATTTCCTGTTATTCCTGTACCCTCAGAAGGGTGGTCTAACTAATAATTACTAATTATTACTAATAATTACTTACTGTAATGTTGGCTGCCCTTTATGGAGAGTTTTAGTGGATCTGTTTGCCTGGGAGGGAGAGCAGTGGACACAGGGACACAAGGATGTCTAAGGAATGGTAACCTTCAGGAGAAAGGAAGGAAAGGGGCAGCAGAAATCTGCTTCAGGGGCACAGCATGGACAGGAGAAATCTTACAGAATCCCTTTTTGCACCATTTGTAGCTGAAACAAGAGGCCTTGGAAGAGCTACTTAATCCAGGTGACCTGGTGAACCAGGGACAGAGCCAAAATTGAAATGCAGGACTCTTCCATTCAAGCTCAGTTTTAAACAGCACCTTTAACCTTGGTTTTGTGCTTTACATGTACAGTTTTACCTTGTCCTGTATGTATAGAGCAGTTCCTTCACAGAGCCAAGCAGCACACAAGTTTTGCAGACAAAGAACAGATCTAATTTAGTGCTGCTGAGCCTGCAAAGAGGAATGCTGGTATCTGCCCTGGACACCCTGGTCTCCAAGGGGTCTCCAGGAAGATCTGAATGATTTTCTGCTGAGATGTGATGAAGGTCTGTGGCTCCATTTGTTTCTCAAATCGGAATTGCAATGCTTTGGTGGCTTTACTGGGAGAAACAGATGAGCAGAATTAGGTTTCATTACTGAAATTTGCCTTTAAAAAGTAAAAAAATATGTGTTTAAGTAAAGAGTAAATAACATCAATCTCTGTGTTTAGTACTTTAAATGTAAAGAACTACTGGCACCAATGTGAAAGGCCAGGAACAAGGAGATCAGGAAACACGTGAACAATAACCATTGTTTATGACCTTAGAAAATTTGTTATTGCTTACCTAAATTGAAGCTACAAGTCACTTCTGCTAGATGAGAATCTGCTATGTCTCATTTGCAGCATTTACATCATAGATGCAAAATTTTTTATTGGAAATGTGACAAGAACACTTTCATTTGGGATCTTATCTTTCATGTTTGACAACAAGAACCTTAGTTTAGAGCACAGTTTCTGCAACCACTTTCCAGTGGGTGGCTGACCCACCATGTACACATTTGGGAATGATCACTGAACAAACCAAAACCATTTCCTTCAGTGTTTTCAGAGATGTCAATCTCCTCCTCCTGACTTCCAGAAGTGTAACTCTTTTTTTCTAAAGTGAGTCAACTGGCATTTATTCCCCTTCAATTAGCATGTTCGTGGTGTACAAGTGGAGCACCACATCATGGCCTTTCCATCTGCTGGGAAGTTTTGTAAGTTTTTTAGGTTGACCTTCTAAGAAAATGAGGTCTGTGTGACCATATGGAGCAAGGTTGCCCTAGTCATAAATGACACTGGCCAAATTGGCACAGTCCTCTGTGACAGTGGCAGAGATCCAGAGGAAAGATCAGAGCTGAGAAAAGAGCCACTGAAGAAAGCAGAGGCATTATCAGTTTCAAAGAATAGAAGAATTTAGGAAAGGGGACTGAAACAAGAACCCCATGTACACTTTGAACTTAAAACTGAATCCTCATGGACCTTGGGTTGAGGTTCCTGGGACTTCTGACCAATGAATTGTTACTGGCACCTACATGTCCCTGCTCAGATTTGTTTAATTAAGGTTATCTGTTAGCAGATGGACTAAACTACTTGACAGGTCAGGTTCTGACTACCCAGATTTATAATTTAGCAGTAGCAGGAAAAATCTAGAGCCAAGATTGCAATCAACCACAAAATACAAATTCAAAAAGAAACCAGAAAGAAAAAAAAAAAAAACAGACTACATTATTTTTCAGGGCTTTTCAACCTTCCTCTTATACCCACAAAACTAAAA